CATATAGAGATTTTTAAGAAAAAATTTTCTTTTAAAGAAATTAATCGAATTAATATTTTTGTTATACTAAAATATCAAAAAGCTAAATGTATTCAACAATTTTAGCCTATATCCTTATGTAATGTGACTTAAAAAATCACATATAAAATTTTTGCATCTATATTCTTCCTTCTATTAAACATGTTAATCTCCCCATTTTAATTGGCTTTTGTAAAAAGTCGATATATTAAAGATAACACCATCATTGTCATAAAAATTTGTCCTCAATGAAAAGAAAGACATGGCATAATGGCTGTAGAACAATCAAATATCGCATAAAACATGCCTTTAACGGTATTACATTGAACTTTAATGATACAAATTATGAGTTAACTAGAAACCTAATTTCTTAATTTATTTCTATAGTTTTAGTTTAGTTCCTCGTTAATTTATACTTTTTAAAGGTATCAAGCTAGAAAATAAAAAAGATTTAGACAGAGCAATTCTTTATCCCATTTATTGTTTTCATTGAAGCTCTTTCTTCTATTCCATTCAAGACATAATCATGGTATTCAATAATGTAATAGTGCACCAACCTTCCATCACTTATTGGTTACAAATGATTTCCTTTATCTTTTATCAAGTTAACAAGTTGAGATGATTGTTGTTATGAGTTGTACTGACATTTTTTGTTAGTGGTATGGCAAAAATAAATAACTAAAATCATTGATCTTCCTCAACCACAATTTCCAACATCAAACCTGAATTAGACTGTGATGTCTTTTATGGCATTTCTTAATTGAGGTCCTATATATTTTTGTGGTTTTCCTTTCAACTATGGTAGATTGATGAGTGCTTCATACTTCCAAAAGCACTTTGTAGTGATGTGGATGAGATTATTCGAAGATTTTGGTAGAAACTTTAGAAGAGGCCAAACAACCCTTAACAAATGAGTGCTTCATACTTCCAAAAGCACTTTGTAGTGATATGGATGAGATTATTCGAAGATTTTGGTAGAAACTTTAGAAGAGGCTAAATTTATGGTCTTACTCCTATTTGTTAGAATAAGCTATATGTAACGGACCCGGAAATATCTAAAGAAAATAAAAGATAATTAAAGTACGGAAGTGTAATAAAAGTTTAGGGTTTACATTTCTTACACAAATAAATTAAAATACCAAACAATGTTGCGGAATTCACTCTTTTGAACGAAATACAAGAAATAAGGAAATAAATAAAAAATAAAGAAATCTAGCTCTTACTCGCATCTTCTTGCGGATCGGGCTCTATAATCTAGTCCTCTTGATCTGAAATGACTAAATAAGGGATGAACTATACTAACCCAGTAAGAATATCACACTATATCACCGACACAGAAGTAAATGTTGGTATAAAATCAAAACAAGTAATGGAGTACTTAATTTAAACCAATACATTTATTAAAAATAAAACTATTTACCGTTCAATTACCGTGGTGGGATTCATAAAAACAATCTATACAGACAATAATATTATACAGATCATGATTCCATGTATAATCAGTAATCATAACACACATTATAAATCTATGTTCATCATCAATAAATCCACAACAACTATCGCTCTTTTCACCAGCCTGCTGGTATTCATGGGAGTTCATAAGGATATCTCCGCTACACGTGAACCTTTTTATTTATTATTCTAAATTGCGGGTCGTCCTCATATCCCATCCGGTATGAGCGCCAATTTACCAAACCTCGATACCCCGTCTAGTATGAGGGTGAAGCGGGTCGTCCCCATACCTCATCCGGTATGAGCGCCAAATTATCAAGTCTACATATCTCGTCCGATATGAGCGTCAAATTATCAAGTCTCCATATCTAATCCGGTATGAGACAACATTCACAGTAGGATTCCTTATGTCCCCGGTCCGTCCACCATCTCCTAGGATATCCAGTAAGGCTGCATTTTCATCCATTCATTTCATCACACAATTTTTACCGTTTAACCTTCTTTTTTTTCTGATTCGATAATAATACATAAAATAAACCATACATGCATTCAAAATCATAAAATAAATTAATGAGATACCATCATGCATATAAACTGTAAAACAATCAACAAACAACAGTAGATACTTCTCACTTCTGGTTCCATTAGCAATCCGTAATTAACTATGCATATTTTTTAAATTCACACAAAATATCGTAATATTATTTATTTTGACTTCAATTCTATGATAAGGAATAGGATGAGAGATCCTTACACAATTCGATGTTTGAAAGTAACGCTGTTCGACTGCGCCTATGGGTGGTTCTCGAGTTTCCTAAATTTTTCTTCAAGAATTAAAATGAGCTAATAATACCTACAAATATCCCGAATAAACCTAAAATCAGTCATATGACCCACTTGGCCAATTTCAGAATTTCGGCACGGCGGCTCGACCGTGCTCCGATGATGGTGCCACCGCCCGCGGCGGTGGTCCGCCTCAGATTGGCTATTTTCGACTGAATTTGGCCGATTATGCATCGATTCCTGCGAGAAAATACGTTAAAGGGTCTTTGTTGGTCGAAAAAATACAAAAAATCGAAACTTACCGGCGGCAGAGCTCTCTAGTGCGGCGGCTCCTCCGGCTCACGTTGCGGTTGGGTGTTTTGCTCCAGTCAACCTGTAGAGAAGGACACAATGATCACAACGGTAAACGGGAATCGGAAAAGGCCTTATCGGAGGCATTTTGTGAAATTTTCTGCAGCGGCGTCGCTTGGCTTTGCCGGTATTTTTCGGTCAATTGGCTAGTCTTTTTGCTCCGATTTGGCCATGAGTGTGCTTATAATTGAGTTTCGAGTAAAAGAAAATTTTTTTACCTTTTTTGACTGTCGGAAAAGCTCCAGTGCAGTGGTGGGTGGCAGCGGTGTCCTTCCTGGCGGCTGGGTCTTCTTCTCCGGCGAGGGGGTCTGGCGACTAAGGTTAGGGTTTGGTGCGGATGAGGGTTATTTATATCCGTCCACTTTTGATCTGGGCGTCCACCGCGTTTGATCTGGACCATCCGATCGTAATTAAATAGGGAGTGAATCTGAACCGTTCATCGTGATCCAATCTGGACCGTCCATCGTGATCCACTATGGACCGTCTGATCGCGTTCAAATATGACCGTTCAATCACGTTTAGGGAGGGAATGCATCTGGGCCGTCGTGAGTGTGGGAACGATTCTGGACCGTTCAATCACGGGCACGCAGATTGCCCACGTGGCACTGCGTCATCGTCTGCTGCCATGCGACGCGTCCTGATTCACTGACCTGCTGACCGGACGTCTGACGTGGTGAAACTTTTCTAAATTATATTTTGACATTTAATTTTTTATTTTTCTTTCAAAAATACCCTTAGAATCCAAATTTCCACCCATTTTTTTCAAAATTATTTTTAATTTAATCCTCCATAAATTTTATTTAAATTTTACTCTAAATAAATAAAAAAAATTAAAAAAAAATGTATTTTATTATATTTATAATAAAATCCTAAATTATAAAGAAACTAATTTAGGGTGTTACACTATATGGCTATGCCGATTAGTTTTAAGAAGCTCAAATACTTCAATTTGATATTATTGCGAGACAAGCTTGGGGTCTCCTAAATTGATTCCTCTAGATATTTTGTTGCTCCTATTAATGCCAAATATCTCTCTTCATTCCCTTTCTTCAAGTTGTTTCTCATGTTAAGGATTTCTTATTTTTAAAAAAGCCTTCTCAAAACTCAAACTTGTTGGTAATTGTGATTCTATCTCAATATGGGAAGACCCTTTGCTTCCATCTATCCAAGGGTTACCCCTTAACTAATATATGAGCATACCTAAATCCTAGTCCAAATAATTAATCAATCAAAATTTAACACAATAATATTTGCCTATTTTGAATAAGTATTTTAACACACCTATGTTTACTGAAATTCATAAAATCAAGCTCCTATAGTTAGTCATATTTGATAAATGGACATAAACTTTAAACTTTGCTAGAGTTTATCGTGTCAAATCTAAATAACAAAATTATTTTTGTAAATATGATGTCTATTCATTGACTATTCCTTGTAAAGATGAAGTGCTTTTGCAAAGATAGGATTCAAGAACATGATAAAATCTTTTATTGGAGTATCCTCTAATAGTGTCTTCCAAGTACCCATGTATGCTCGAGAGGAGGTATCATAGTTCTTCCTCTAAAGCTATTATTAAATTCTTTGTTGTGGAAAATGAAGCCATTCTTCAATGCCCAAGACTTGTTTATAATATATGGCTTTTGCATATTTTTATTTACTATACTTATCAAATGGTTATAGAGTTCTTTTTATATGTACATTGATAAACTTATAAAAAAGTCCAAAAATTTTAATACCTAATTTTATTCATGTAAAATCTTATAGGCTCCTAATTATGGTGATGAATTAATCACTATTGGCAAATATTATAAAAAGGTTGAAGAAAGTTTAATGCCTATTTTCACCCACTTCTCTTAATAAATATATTACCAAAAAATGACACATGACATTTTTTATTTATTAAAATAAAAAAACAAAAGTAATGTGTTAATATTAATTATAACTTCACAAATTATATTAAGATAAAATTTATATACTATTATCTATTTCAGATTTTAAAATATTAAAAAATTAATGTAATAATATATATAATAATTATCCATTTAAAATTTTAAATATGAGAATAGAATTTAATTTTTAAATGACTATAAAGTATACACTACATAATTTTTAATACACAAATAATTTTAATAATATATATAATAATTATTTATCTAAATTTTGAAATATAAAGAAAATTTAATCTTTAATTAACTATAAAATATAAATTATAATTCGTATGTAATACCAGACAAAAATCTATCGAATGCAGAAGCAACAAACTCAACTACACTTACTTGCTCAAAAATATATTTTGAAATAATTGAAAAATAAATTGAGGCTAAAATAATTTTCCTAAAATAAAATAAAAATTCTTTTTTCAATGTATTCTTTTTTTCTTGTTCGTAAAAAAAGAAATGCTTTCTGAGGAGTGAGTAAATAGAGGTCCGTGCATCGGCCCTGACCTTCGTGAGCCTATTCTGCGTCTCTCTAGGGTTTGGTGGATTTTGGAATTCTCTCGCAGATTTGCCTTTATGTTCCCTTCAATTTCTCTCCCAATACATTCAGGTTTCGTTTAATATTTCTCCTAAACCTTTCTCTCCCTGCTCACAAATTCTCTTTGCACTTTCTTCATCGCCAAAATTATGTTTATATTCTCTTCCCAATTCATCGCCTTCGTTACCTTGTGTCAAAATCTTCGAGTTTTTGGCCCCGGTTTGAATCCTTTTTCCCCTTATTGCATTGCTAATCACTCCCTCGCTTCCCGCTAATTTCGCTCTGTTCGGGCCTCTCTCAAAGTATTCTCCTTCAATTTTTCTCCGATTTATAATGTAAATCCGGGGTCTTTCCACTTTTAGGGTTCTTTTTCTCTCAGGGAATCTGCTGCTACGAAACGCAATCTTTGGTGATCGCAATCTTTGGTGATCTTTTGAGACTCCAGGTTGCTACCGAAACAGTTATGTAAAAAATACGTGATCTCTCCGTCGGCCTGGTCTTGCAAAGTTTTCTGCTTGATTGTCGTTGCAAAAATTGAAGAACAGTGCATACTTCCCTTTGCATAGTGCGGTTTTTGATTAACTTAGAAATTTCAAGAAAAAGATATGAGGAAAGAGAAGTTGGTCACGAATCAATTACGGCGCACTTTGTCGAGAAGGCAGTCGTTCCGGTGTGGGATTGATAGGGATGACAGGGGTTGGACTATGCTCCATGTTGGAGCTCGAAAAGGTGATCTTAAAGAGGTAAGTTATGTTCCCTTGCTTTATCATTTATCAGATTCCTGAATGTTAAAGCACCTGTATCTGCGCATCAGATGGTTTTAGTCACTTAGTGATCGCATTTGTCGTATATTTTCTGTGAGTATATACGTTTGGTATCGGGTGCGTCCTGGTGGATTACTCCAAATACATATATATTTTCTTTTCAAAGAAATTATTTATTACCAGCTGCATCTTATTGTATTCTCTACTCTCAACTATAGAGGTGATACATATTGGGGCTTTTTTGTTGGTACGCTGGATGCAGTAGTTTCATTGTTGAACTCCAAGTTTTATACTTTTTTCAGTCCTGAGGTTACGGCTTTACCCTTTTTGGCCTATAATGGGCAGTAATTGTGATATGGTCCAAACTACTGAGTGGTAATATTGAATATTTGGTTTAGATTGTTGCACGTGGTTTCCAGTTGTATGCACCAGAGGTGGAAGTATTTGTGTATTTATAAGTATATGTATATCTATATTGGCAATTCTATGCATCAAATTAGGAGAGATATTGAGTCCTTATTCCTGATCATTAGTCGTTCTCATTGTTGTGTCTGTTTGTGGTTAGAGAGTGAGCAGGTTGTATTAACTTCCACATAGGTTTTACGTAGGCTATTCAATGTATCAAAATAATCATTTTGGTTGGATGAGCACTTACGAGTCTTCTCTAAGATTTTGCTTATAGATAATTATTTTTTTCGTGTGTGTACACTAATGATTTGAACCCAAGCACTATCCATCAGTATCAGGATTAATGACCACTAGCTAAACTGTTGGGGTTGTTTCTACTAGCAATTTGTTATGCACTTCTTTTTATGAACCTTTGAATTTTTTTTATGAACCTTGTATTTAAAGTATACAATGGTCTAGTTATGCTATGTGAAACTCAATGTATTAAATTAATTATTTTGGTTGGATGAGCACTTATGACTCTTCTCTAAGTACTAACTTATAGATAGTTTTTTCTTCTGGTGTGTGTACACTTATGATTTGAACTCAAGCACCATGCATCGGTATCAGGAATGATGAGCACTAACAAAACTGTTGGGGTTGTTTCTACTAGCAATCTGTTATGCACTTCCTTGTATGAACCTTGAATTTTTTTTATGAACCTTGTATTTAAAGCATACAAAACTCAGTCTAGTTATGCTATGTGCAACTCAATGAGAATAATCATTTTGGTTGGGTGTGCACTTATGACTCTTCTCTAAGAATTAACTTATAGATTGTTATTTTTTTCGTGTATGTACAATTATGATCTGAATCTGAGCGCAATGCAGATTAATGGGAATGATGACCGCTCAGCTAAACTGTTGGGGTCCTTTTTACGAGCAATCCGTTAGACACTTCTTTGTATGAACCTTTGAATTTTTTTTATGAACCCTGTATCTAAAGCATACAAAACTCAGTCCAGTTATGCTATGTACTGAACATTCATCATATGGATTTGACCTAAATAATTCTCATACCTGGAATTTGTTTTGCACCTGATGGCAGTAATGCAGAATATCTTGGTGATCTTAGGAAACAAAAGTATGCTACCTCATCTATTTTAGTGGATGTCTTGATTCTTTCAGTAATTCCTTCATATAGAAATTTTGCATCATTATGGCTGAGTATTATTAATTATGTTTTATTGGAACAGGTGAAACGACTTCTTGATGAAGGAATGGATGTTAATGTGGCTGCATGGGGTCCAAAATCAAAAGGTATTACTCCTCTCCATCTCGCTGCTGAGGGTGGCCACCTTGAAGTTATGGATGAATTGCTTGAGCGTGGAGCTGATATTGATGCTAGAACATGGGGTGCATGTGGTTGTAAGTATCATTTTTTCTTTTGTAAGAACTTATTCCTTGATGGCATTCTTTCCGAAACATTTTTCATTTCCTTTGAGGCCATGATTACTATTTTATTTCACTATTGTAAAAAGTGTTTATTCTCAATTCCATGTAAGAGATTTGCTTCAATTCAGCCTCTAATTTATATGGCTTGATTGTCCCAATCAAATATAACCAAGAACTACTAGTGATTGAGGGGATCATGTGAATGTCGCAAACTATTGATTCATACCATTCACAAACTTCTAGATAGTTACATGCCTGAATGATTAATTTAAAGTTGACATTAAACGTTGGAAAATAATGGATAATCTGTGATAACCACATGTAAGGATATGGTTCCTTTAGCATCACTTCTTAGGTGGGCAACATAGTGCAATCTCAATTTTTTTTTTTAAAAGGAAAAAGTATGAAGGCACCAAGATAGTACAACCTGTAAATGAGAACTTTAAGAATCTATCAACATGTCAATCAAGTCCCTTAAATCACTAGCATAAAGAGGATGACCCTTAATAGAAAAAGCTAGGGTCTGAAACCATGCAATCCTTGATCATATCAAAAGACAGTTCTATATCCTCAAAAGCTCGTCTGCTTCTTTCTTGCTATAAGATCCATAAGGTAGCTTAAGGGATAAGGCTGTGAAGAATGAGCAGAAGGCGGGAATTAGGATGGTGTTTTAATTTATGTTATTGCTTTTCATTTTGTTGCTTCGTATGTCATAGAATTACTTCCTTTTTCTTGTATTGCATGAGCATTTTAGTGGAGCAGTAGGATAGTACTTGGTATACAACTGTCCAATATGGTAGGAATATTTACTGTTACCCACCAGCCTTTGGCTCTATTTTCAGATGTATATAGCAGGATTGTAGCTGACAAGCAGGACATGAATGATAATCTAAATCTCCTCACTACGTTCTTTGTCTCTCCCTAGTCAATTTCTTTCCTTCCCTCACTCTAATCTACTTTTCTTCTTCTCCTATTTTTTTCCCTGTATCAACCAACTTAGGACTTCACCAACTGCTAAATGAGTCAAGGTCATGACAAAGTTATATCAGAGCCTTGCGAACCTACTGAAACTGTCTAGTTGTCAAGCTGGCGAAAAACAAGAGCAAGTCTATTATTACTGAGGTCCAATGTGTGACTCAACTGGAAGGTAGCATGTGCACCTGGGAGAAGCCCCTTCAAGACTTCATGACTGAAGTCTTTATGCTAGGCTAGAGACCTCTAGCTGAGAGTAACCTCTAGCTTCAATCATGCTCATAAACACTGTACGGTCCATTTTGAGCTCCCAGCCTACCTCTTGCAACTAGCCTACACCATCACAACCTCCCCCTGCACCTCAAAATTAATCTTCTGCCCCACAAACGTCTAGAGGACTACTTTCCCTCTCCCATGAACAGAGAGATAGGGGAAAGTAGCCACACTCGAACCTTCATGTGCAATACATGGGAGTGAACCCTCATAATAGACATTTCCATCCTTGAAGGGAATAACCCCAGACTATGGCTGAGGCAGTATAAGAAATATTTCCAGGTGTACGGAATGACTGAAGACCAGAAGGTAAAGGTGGCCACCCTCTTCCTTTGCGAGGAAACTGATGCACTTTTGCAAGGCCTGTATGCATAATGTGGAGGAATGATGGAATGGGAGACCTTCAAGAGTCAGGCTGTTAGGGAAACCAACCATACCTAATGTCATTGACGAATTCAACAAGCGCAAACAGGAAGATTGCTTGATGGAGTATCAGGATCAAGGTTCCTACTGTTGAAAGACTTCATATCCTCCTCCATTCGTGGCCTTAGCGAAGAGGTCAGACCTATGATTAAACTCTTTAAGCCACAAGCACTAAACATGGCTTATGAGCAAGCCCAACTCCAGTTACAACATATAGAAGCCATGATAAAACGCAGTCTTCACTCCCAGTCTAAACCACACTATTTGGAAATACCATCCTTCTCTGGCCCAACGGCTACGCAGCAACTGGCACCAAAATCTATTATGAGCACCAGGCCATTGGGAATGGTTGCCTACAAGTTAGCCTTAGCTGGCCCCTTCAGAAAGAGTATTTGATGAAGCTGAATTAGACCCATATAACGAAACCGGATTAGACCCTTCATCCACCGGGTCAAATTTGAACCATATTAAAATTCCACCTTAACTCACCATTCACCCAGTCTTCCATGTCTTACTGCTCAGAAAATATGAAGGAAGCTCTTCTCTGGTGAGCAAGTAGTTGCCTATTACTGACGACCAATGACAGATCAAGGTAGGACCCGAAAAACTGCTGCAAACAAGGATCATCACTCGAAGGCAGAAACCAATTAAGCAGGTGCTTGTGAAATGGAGGAACATGGGGCCTGAAGAGACCACTTGGGGAGATTATTCCTCAAGGAGCAATTTTTCAAATTGAGCCTCGAGGACAAGGCGTTTTTGGAAGGAAGGAGAAATGTCAAGAACCAGTGCAAGGGCAGGAATTAGAAAGGGGTTTTGAATTTCTGTTATTACTTTTCATTTTTTGCTTTTTCTTTCCATCAATGATTATGTCATTTTTTTGTATTGCAGGAGCATAGTGGAGACTTAGGATAGTACTGGGTACACAGCTGTCCAGTATGGTAGGAATATATACCGTTCTCCACCAGACTTTGGCACTATTGTTAGCTATATATAGCAGGATTTTAGCTGGCGAGCAGTACATGAATGATAATCTAAATTTCCTCACTGCATTCCTGTGTCTCCCTATTCTATTTTTCTCTTTCCCTCACTCTAATGTCCCTTCCTTCTTCTCCTATTCTATTGCCCTCCTAATCAACCAACTCAGGACTCTACCTGCTGCTAATAAGTCAAGGTCCTGACAAAAGCCTTAATTTTTAGTATAGCTTTTATCTTCAGCGAATACCTTTCCAAGCCTATATCTTCTCCTTTGAAAAATTTGTCAGGGCCCAATTCAACCCATTAGGCTATAGGCCAAACACCAAAGCTGGTAGGAAAATGAAAATGAGAGTAAGAAGTGGTTGACAGACGCTTGCAGCTTCTTACATAAGTAGCATTCATCCATGATGACCTGCCCCCTCTTGATCATATTGTCTATAGTGCATGCAATCTCAAATCTTAAGTTGTAAAATTCTTTGTATCTATGTTTTGTTCTTTTGAAAGAAACTGCAAGTATTTATTGACTCTAATTTAATGCCAATCAAATTAGAACTGGAAGCTCTAATAAGGAACTTTCAAGGATATATTTTAGGAGAAAGAATTGTTGTTGAGAGGTGCTACTGGGTGTCACCCACGTACAGGCACAAAAGATCAGAAATAAAAAAGTCAATCAGGTTCCCCAAAGTCCTCGGTGTGAAGGATAGGATTCCATGTCAACAAATTACTTGGGCAAGGGAATCATGTAAAACTCAAATGAATGTAAAATATAACTAAATGTGGATACTGCTAATGAGAAAACTACTGGAAGCAAACTAAAATTTTGTAAGTTAATAAATATGCATCTCCATTGATGCGCCATCAGATATTGTTCGAAAAGGACTATGTATCTATTTGTAGTTCTGTTTGATCATAGAGATTAATTTGACTGTTAAATTTGTGTCAAAAACAGGCTGAAACTCTAGAAGTAAAATCAGATTGTGGTGAATATTGAAGTATTCACATATATAGTTTTGTTGATCACAATATATCAAAAAAAAGTTTTGTTGGTCACGAACTTGACACATAATGCGTCAAGCTTTACAGTCCAAAATAAGTTTCAGCAGTTTCCTGCAATAATTAAATATTTTGGAGGTAATGGTAGTTGTCCAAGTTGTTTTAGAACAAGCTTTTCTACTGCATCTGATCACCAAAATATTAGTGAACGCAGACGCACACAGCCCAATTAAAATTGGTCTTCAAAATTTATATTGTATTTTATGAATTGATTCGTTGATTATAAAATTTTAGATTTTTATTCCCAGTGTGAATCTTGATTGACAAGCATGGTTTATAAATGCTCAAGGTATCTTTCTTTTCTATCTGAATACAGGGACACCACTTCATGCTGCAGCAAAAGAAAGGAAGAGAGAAGCAGTCAAGTTCCTGGTAGAAAACGGGGCATTCTTACCAGATGACATCAATGATACCAGATTTAATCCACCAGTACATTACTGCCATGGTCTGGAATGGGCATACGAAGAGATGAAGCGTATCCAAGGAGATAGTTCATCAGCAGGCGATACCTCTTACAGTTCTGAAAGTTGATGTTCTTTGATTGTCCTGCTCTTGGCTGGGGTTCCTTTAACGATCTTCCGTGCTGAATACTTCCATAAATAATATTCAAGTACGTGATTTGTTTGTCAAGCTTGTGTATGGAGTGTGCTTAGTGTTGCAATTTAGTATCTTTGGACATATAGCGTATTGCTTTAACACTCGGGTATAATGCTTTGACATTATGTGTGCACTTGGTCTGTTATCTTAACACATGAATCTAATCTGTTTTTTGATCATCAAAGTTTGTTGTCAACAACATGAAAATGTATATGTAGTTAATCTTGATGATTGTTTGCTTTTTGTAAAACTTGCTTGGTTGTTTATCTTATGAATCTTGGCTATGACAGGAAATTAGCTCATGCTAATATAGCCTTAATTTCCAAACTAGTCAGAAAAGACTTAGTAAAACGCTTGCCTAAGCTATCATTTGAAAAGAAAGAATATGTAAAATTTGTCAATTAGGCAAATAATCAAGAGTTTCCTTCAAAATAAAGAGAAACATTGGTCTAACTATTAGTCTAGGTGGACGTCAATATGCCTTTTCCATAGTGAACCACTCAAGGTACACTTGGATATCTTCTTTGAACATAAGGATGAGGTTATTCAGACCTTCTCCAAGTTCCGCAAAAAGATTAACAATGAGAAGGGAACTAAAATATTCGGCATTGACTTTGTTGGCTTTTTTTATGAATTTGGAATTGATCACAACTTCTCAACACCTAAGACTCCTTAGCAAAATAGTGTTTTAGAAAAGAAAATTATTTTTTTTCTTAATTTAGTGGCTATAATAAATGTCAATTATAATTGATTAATGAATAATATAATAAATTTTTTTCTTCTTTCATTCAATTGTTCTAACTAAGATTTTAATTTAGTGACTATAATTAATGACAACATAGAGTTTAAACTTATTAATAAAGTTGACAGATTTTGTCTTAATCAATTACTAATTTTACAAGTATTTAATCATACTCAATATCATTTTAACTATTGTTCTATGACTATATGTATTCAAAGTTATATTATGATAAATGACTTGTTAATTATTATGATGATTTCAGGTCAAATGAAATTTTTACATTTCTTTATTTTAAGAAAATATTATATTGATAGTTTAAGATAATATTAATCATTATGAATTCTTAGTTGGGTCAATTCAATGATCATATCTTCATATGCATCATTTATATATGTGATTTAGTTAATAAGATCAACTAATTTTTATCTTATAAAAATTATAACATATATATTAGTTTTGTCGGATCATTAATGTTTTATTTGAATTATCCAACAATTAAGAATATTTTAGATTAAATTATAAAAAATTTTACTCTAATTATCAAGATCTCCATGTTGATATAAAGTTTCTAAATTTAATTAAGAACTTTATCATATAAATTAAATAGTAAGATAATAAATATATTATTATCATATATTAAAATAAATTGTTAAATAAAAATATATTCAATATATTATATGAATAATTGAATTTTAAGCATAACAATTATATTTCTAACAAACACGAGTGTCTCAGAAGATGTTCACTAACTCAAATATACTTTATGTCAACAAATTTTTTGGTCGAGAGAGTCATGTAAAACTCAAATGAATTTAAAATGTAACTAAATACGGGTAGTACTAATGAGAAAATTATTAGAAGTGAACTAAAATTTTGTAAGTTAATATTGGTGCGAAAAAGATTGGGGTATCTATTTGTAATTCTATTTGGCTATAGAGATTATTTTGACTTTTAATTTGAGTAAATAATAGACTGAAATTGTAGAAGTAAAATCAGGTTATGGTGACTATTGAAGTATTTTTATATCTAGTTTTGTTGATCATAAACTTGATACATAATGCATTAAGGGTTCACAGTCCAAAATAAGTTTCAGTAGTTGCTGCAATAATTAAATATTTTGAAGGTAATGGTAGTGCAAGTTGTTTGAAAACAAACTTTTCTACTGCACCTGATCACCAAAATATTTGTAACACCCAATAATTTTAGCATTTTTATTATTATTTTTTATTAATTTTTATTTTTATTTATTTAGTTTAATTTATAATTTTTTTTAAATAATAATAATAATAATAATAATAATAATAATAATAATAATTGTAAAATTGGGTAAAAATATTATTTGGATTTAATTGAAATTGATTTGGGAAAAAGGGGTGAAAATTAGGATTCTGGAGGTATTTTTGAAAAGAAAATCGGAAACTGGGGGTCAAAACGCAATTTAAAAAAATTGCGCCCCATCAGCAGCCACGTCAGCGACCCAGTCAGCAGCCCTGGCCAACCAGGACCTGTCACGTGGCGAGACCACGTCGACCCGGGAACGGGCCATGTGGGCGATCCGCGTGCGCGCGATCGGACGGCCCAGATTTAATCAAAATGGACGGTTGTGATCAAAAGCAAAAGGTATAAATAAACCCCCACACCTGACCACAAAAACCCTAGCTGCCTGCCCTCGCCGGAGAAGACGAACCAGACGCTGGAGGAGCCAGCCTGCCGCCACCCGCCGCCGCAACGGGGAGTTTTTCGACCGCCGATCGAGGGTAAATTTCATACCCCGGCTCATTTTTCCACGCTGAGTTCCCCTGTGGCAAAATCGGAGCCAAAATCCCGGCTAAACGGCCGGAAAACACGGCCAAAACCCAGTTGCGCCGCTGCGCCCCTCCTCGATTTTTGCCTCCGATGAGGCCCTTCCCGGCCTCCGTTTGATACAATTTTTATATCACCGTGATCACCATTCTTTTCTCTACAGGTTGATCGGAGCCGAATCACCAAAACACGAACCTCGCCGGAGAGCCGCCGCACCCGAGAGCACCGTCGCCGGTAAGCTTCGATTTTTCGTAATTTTTTTGGCCCTCGAGGGCCCTAGGGTTGTTTTATCACAGGGACCGATGCAAGTGTGGCCGAATTCGGCCAGAAACGGCCGAAAACGGCCAACCCGAGGCGAATCGCCGCCGCCGTCGCCGGAGCACGGCGGAGCCGCTGTGCCGGAATTGCGATATTGGCCGAAAGGGGCCCTGGGTTTAATCTGGAATTTTTTGGGACACGTGCAAGTACTAGTAGTGCGTTTCAGTTCTCCGGAAAAAATTCAGGAAAAATTAGGGACAGCCTATAGGCGCACTGTAGAGCCGTATTCGGACCCCGAAACAAGTAAGAACCCCTCACTCTATTTTTTATCACGGTATTAAAGTTCAATAAATGATAAAACGGTATTTCATGAATCAATAGATGTGTGAAATTGTTTAAGGTCGCTAATGGAGCCCGAGTCTGGTGTGTTTGTCGGTCAGCTGTTGTTTGGCCTATTTTACAGTTTTAAATGCAATATGAGGTCTGATGTTTTCATTTCATAGTTTCGTGTGCATATATCACTGTTTTATTGATTATGGGTTGAATGACTGAGAACCCGATATTGTATGTTGTCTGGTTTGGCATGAATTACTGGTTGCTTGTTTGTGTGTGATTTGATGATGCTGACTGAGGAAAAGGAGAATGAAAGGTTATGTAAATTGATAATTGTATAATGTTGTCAGCCTGACTAGATATCCTGGGAGATGGTGGACGGACCAGGTCCGTAGGGAACCCTACCGGGATTGTGGTCTCTCATACCGGACGGGGTATGGAGACCTTATGTGTTTTGGCGCCCATACCGGACGGGGTATGGGGACAGCCCGTTTCACCCTCATACCGGACGGGGTATTGAGGTTTATAGTTTTGGTGCCCATATCGGACAGGGTATGGGGACGGCCCTGGAATCTGATTACAAGTGTTAAAGGTTCACGGGTAGCAGGACCCCTATGGATCCCCATAGATACTAGTAGGCTGGTAAATAAGGAAAAATATGTTGTGTAATGATTGAGATAAAAAAGGCGTGATAAGTATTATGTTATACAGTTCCTATGATTTCGTGATGATGATAATGTTATTGCTTTCGTATATTATTTTATGAATTTCACCGAGATAAGTGGATAGTAAATGATTTTATTATTGATAAAAGAATTTGTTGTAAACTATGCTCCATTGGTCTTTTTGTGTTTTCTACCCACCTTTACCTCCGTGACGGTGAGATAGTGTGATGTCTTTACTGGACTGGTGTAGCTCATTCCTTATTTAATCATTTCAGATCAGGAAGATATTATTCCCGAGCCCGTTCCGCAGGAAGACGGTGAAGGGGACGCTTGAAGACTCCGTAGTCATATTTATAGCTTTTATTTTCAAGTTTCTCTTTTAGTTAGTTTGTTCTTTTATACTTTGAGCACGTTTTTGGTTTTAGTGTAAGGGATGTTTAATCAAAATTTTTATTATGCTTCCGCATTTGACCTTTTTAATACACATATTTCATTTTAAAATTCCGGAGCCGTTACAATATTAATGAATACATATGCACACAGCCCCATTAAAATTGATTTTTAAAATTTATATTGTATTTTACGAGTTGATTCGTTGATTATAAAATTTTAGATTTTGATTTCCAATGTGAATCTTAATTGACTAGTATGGTTCTATAAATGCTCAAGGTATCTCTCTTCTCTAATCAAATACAAGGACACCACTTCATGCTGTAGCAAAAGAAAGGAAGAGAGAAGCAGTCAAGTTCCTGGTAGAAAGCGGGGCATTCTTACCAGATGACATCAACGATACCAGATTTAATCCACCAGTACATTACTGCCATGGTCTGGAATGGGCATACAAAGAGATGAAGCGTATCCAAGGAGATAGTTCACCAACAGGCGATACCCCTCTTACAGTTCTGAAAGTTGATGTTCTTGGCTGGGGTTCCTTTAACGATCTTCCGTGCCGAATACTTCCATAAATAATATTCAAGTACGTGATTTGTTTGTCAAGCTTGTGTATGGAGTGTGCTTAGTGTTGCAATTTAGTATCTTTGGTCATATAGTGTATTGCTTTAACACTCGGGTATAATGCTTTGACATTATGTGTGCACTTGGTCTGTTATCGTAACACATGAATCTAATCTGTTTTTTGCTCATCAAAATTTGTTGTCAACAACATGAAAATGTATATGTAGTTAATCTTGATGATTGTTTGCTTTTTGTAAAACTTGCTTGGTTGTTTATCTTATGAATCTTGGCTCATGCTAATATAGCCTTGATTTCCAAACTAGTCAGAAAAGACTTGGTAAAACGCTTGCTTAAGCTATCATTTAAAAAGAAAGAATATGTAAAATCTGTCAATTAGGCAAATAATCAAGAGTGTCCTTCAAAATAATAAATAAAAAAAAAAACATTATTCC